TTACTGTTATAGTGGCAAAAAAAAAAGTAATTGTCAAATGAAGAACAATTAACTGAACCACAGTTTACCAAAGATCTACATGACAAGTGACAGCTTTTAATCTGTAGCAAAATTAACTTTTTGAATATGCTGCATAATATAATTGTTTAGATTGATTAACTGGTGGCAATTTGCTAAAATCTTTAAAAATAGTGAAACTGTTTCTTTTTTTTCTTGGTTATTTTATTGTTGCTGCTGCTTTTTTTTGCTCTTATCAGTCTAAAATACCGACTTTAAGCTGATAGTTGACAAAGTTGTTGGTTATTTCAGTTGATGCATTCGTCTACCAGACCAACATTCTGACCATTTTCAAGTGTTTGGATACTGATAGATGTAATGGAAAAATCAAAATTTACAGACAACTACTGTGTTTAAGAGTTCAGAAAAACTGTAGTTTTGATGGGTTAAAAAGAAGGTGTAGATAAGGAAAATTGGTGAATGTGCACTCAGAAAGATTCAGCTAAGTGAGGGTTGAGTGTTGACAGAAAAAGTATGCGTCCATACACTATCCATCGAGATTATTTATATATACGTATGAATAGGTGGATGGGTTTAAGATGATGATGATGACGATGATGATAGTTGCAGCTGGAAAGAACATAGAAGAGGGAAAAAAATTTTGAAACATGCTCAATTTTTCGTTTTTCATGTGATGAAAAAGGTGAAGATGAAAAAAGACGAAATTTTTATTTTGTTTTGGTACTTCATCGATTGTAAGATTTAAGGGGTAAAGGTGGGGAAGAAAGGGAAAAAAATTGCTTTTTTTATAGAAGGGGAAAATTAAATTTGAACTACGTCGTAATATTTGGGTCAGTGCTGAAGCTGGTGACTGGTACGGAAGCTTAGAAGAAATTAAACAGAAAAAAGCGCTTTATTCTATTTTTTGAAACTTTTTTGTCATTGTCGCCATCAACGGGAAAAAATTATTTTTATTTTACAAATTTACAAAAAAACAGTTATTTTTCCAGCATGCATTTAGTTCAAGAATTCTTTTCAGAAACATTTTGAGTTAAAATTATTCTTTTCAATGAGTAAGAGGGGGGGAAAAAGTTTACTTCCTATCAATTCATCATCAAAATATTTCTTGAAAAAATTTTTCAATTTATTATAACTGTTAAGTAAGGATATAGTTGGATGAAAAACGAAATGCGGATAGTGGGGATAGGATAGAGGAGAAGAGACGGGGAAAAGGATGATTCTGCAACGTGCACTCAAGTGGCATAGAACTTTAGGCGATAAGTGTTGGGTATTTCAATTAGATATCAGGGCAGCACTTTGCTAGACTTTTTTTTGGTTTTTTTTCTAAATACAACAATCAAAGCTGTGTTCGGTTTATTCATTACCCAGTTTTTACACTTTTTGTCTTATCCTGTACTGTTGTTGTTATCGCTGCTGCTAATACTACTACTACCATCACAACTACAACAATTATTATTGATATTGATATTGATATTGATATTGTTGGGACTGTGCAATTTGTTCATTAAACTGCTAATTTTTTTTTTGATACTGAACCTATATTGTATTTATATATTTTGAAGAAGTATATATTACTGTATAGTTAAGTGGCATTTTATGATGATACCAATTTTTTTTCCCGTTGTTTATTTGTTTTATATTCGTCAGCATATGATAGAATACAAAGTTACTGTGACGTTCCGTATCTTCAACTGTTACACAAAGATGATATCCCCCCAAATGCATTCCATAGTTTTTTCTTTCATTATATTTGTTCATATATATATATATTTTTTTTTCTTTTTACATTGTACCCGTATTAACTATTAGAATTCTGGTTTCACTTTTTGCTTTATTTGTTCACATTGTTCCGTTTCTTTTTTCCACAGTTTAAACCTAATACCGAAAACAAAAAAAATCCCAAAGGGCAAAAAAAAATAAAAAATAAAAAAGAGTGAAAACCTACTCTGTATGTATGTTTGTGAATAGTAGTGATATATATGGGTGTTCATATATTTTGTATTCTATGATTTCTGGAGGAAGAAAAATAAGAAAATTGTGAAGTTATTTTAACTGTTCCATTGGTTTTCTTCAACATTTACGTCCATATTAAACCAGTCGTCTGGTAAAATTCAAAAAGATCAGTATCAAATCAAAGCCATACCTATTGTTTTGTTGCTATTCCTTCTGTGGTGTTTTTTTCCTTCACTTCCCTCTATGCTTTCATACACTCCTCCCTTTTCTATTCATTTCCATAATTCATTCCCGCTTGTGTATATTATTTGTACATTATACAGAACAAAAAAAAAAAATCAAAAAATCATTACCTTAACTAGGGTTTAGTTTCTTTGCAAAACAAACTTATGAACAGCGCCGAAGCAACATAAATAACACCCCAGAAATACCTGTCAAACATCCAATAATCACTGGTGGGCACTAATCCAGATCCAACTCATTCTTTTTTACCACTTAGACTCCAGTTAAAGAAACTAGTATTCAAGTGACGTGGTGAAGGATGAAAAAACTACACGATGTAGAGCGTGCATTAACTAACTGCAAAAGACTCCTTAAATTACATAACTATCCAAACTGTTGAGGTGTCAAAAAACGGTATAAAAGGAAAAAAATTATCTTAACGCCATTCCTCGCATGTGTTCTGCTAAAATTAAGAAATATATACGTAACTATTTCTCGACATCGTCCTATCCAACTTGCTTCCTGCACCAAAACATCAATAACCAGTAAAAACCATACAAAAGCCAATAGTTTTTCAAGTACTTCACACTCTAACAATTACAAACCTAAATTTAATTTCTACTGAAAAAAAAAAAAAAAAA